AACAAGAGTAGATAAAATGTTTTAACTTTTTTTATTTAATAAAATTTACAAATTCAAACACATTAAGGATTAAAAACAACTGAAATTGTACAATTAACATTATTAGAAATATTTATTTTTGGAGCATCAAAACTTGTACTCGTTTGCTTAAACACTTGATTCGAGGTACTGGAATGATTTTCTGTAACATTTGTTTGACATTTGTTGACAGAGTAATTCATATCCCTAGCAACGGAGCAACACAATTGCGATTTTTGTGCTAAAAATTACAATTTTCTCTGAAATTCTATTTTTCACCTGGACTTGCCATAGAAAAAAATGTTCGGCCATAAAAAACGCATTATCTTCTCGAGCATAATTAGCGTCCCGACGCTAAAAAACGCTCTCGAAGATAAAGTACAATTGTATCGTCTTGTATACTATTAATATGATTAAGCTATTTTTAAAATGGTTTTAACAATATATCTTTAGATGTTTTTTACAAAATTGCTTCATATTTCGATCAGATTAACTCTCGTATCTATATTGTTTTTTAGAGCTGGAATTATTGTCATGTTTCTTCTTTATTTATTCTTTCTGGTATATTTAACTCACTTTATTCCAGGAAAACGTACCTATGGTCCGTCCCAAACCCTTCTTTCAGTGCGTCATAGTTGTTCGAATTCTCTCTAACGCATTGAGCTAGAAGTGACAGAAAAAAACGTGAGTGTCTGATTATTATACATAGAACTTAGAAAATTACGTATCGTTCATGGGTATTCGCATATTAAAGCGAATTCTACTTACGAACGTATAATTGGTTGGAGTTTAGAATACGCTAAATAGATATCCAATCAATTATGCATATAAATATAATTTGACACAGATGATCTTGATAATGACAGTGACAGTACTTTCACAATGTCAACTGATAAAATGATAATTGCCATTCCAGGTTAGTATTTTCAGACATTTTACCTACAGTGAAAATTAAATTTTATATTTTATTGTCATAAAAATATTTTAAATATTCCGAGATATACCGAGAATGAACAAAGACTAATATTAAAATTATTAAATTAGTTTCAATTAGAAAAAGATGCTGAGACATCTTTATTATCAGTTTCTGTCGTTCGCGAATCAGATTGTGAATTCCGGAATGATACTGAGGAAATATCTTAAACTAATACCGTTATGGATATTTATATGTAATAAAACGGTTCTTTTTAGAACCACGTCATTTTCTTGAAATGTAAGATATAATTGATACCAGCCACATATCTAGTGTAATCATTGATTTTAAAGAATCAGATTCTGAATAGGATTATAGATTGTTTGAAATATAATATTCATTTTTGTTATGCATTAAAAAGTAGGTAAACTTACATTCGGTATCTTGTTTTTTAACTAAACTCCATTAACATGATTTCATCTGGATACAGGAACTGGTAGATTAACTCAAAAATCAACTGCTTCACTATTTAAACTATTTATATTGTTTTTTTTAACTAAACTTTATAACCTTCTTTCATTTGCACACCAAATCTGGTAGAATAACTCAAAAATCAACTGCTTCACTATTTAAACTATTTCCACTATTTAATGACAACTCTTCACAAAATTAAACTATTGGCTGCCACACAAACTTATCATAAAATTACTTATCCAAATATGACTGATTTAAATCGATGTTATTTTATCACAGGAATGTTTACTTTGATGCCTTGCAATTGCAATTGTCAGTAAATTTTTTTACCTTGCAGTCAACTCTTAAAAGATTCTAAGAGGAAGCGTTATTTTAAATAAAGAAACCTTCCAATTCCCTAGTGTTTGTAATAAATAATAATAAATCCATAAACAAATCTTAGCTAATTAAGCACTTTTCATGGAATGTATAAAATAGAACAGAATAGAATAGAATTATGACAAACTGCTATGCATTAAAAAAAAAATAACCTTTTCACGTTTAGCCGATTACGAACCTGCAACTGTCAAATTTAACTAAAATGTCATGCAATAACTCTCGACATTCTTAAAATCCTATATGACGTCAAAATTAGTGACGCACTGAAAAAAGGGTTTTGGACAGACTGTACATGCCAATTATTGCTTAGCATCAAAAAAGTTGAAAGAGATCTATAAGGGTCTCTAAAAGCAGAAATGTGGTACAAACACTAAACCTATTACTTTGGTCTCCTAAAGTTAGTTTTCCAACAAAAATGATAATATATAAGTAGGTTGTAGAACCAATTTTGACGTACGGATCTAAAGGTTGACAAATAACAATGAAAGAAAACAAAAAACTGGAAGTGGTAGAAATGGACTATACAAGAAGATCGTGGGAAATATCCAGGCCTAATCACATTCCAAATAAAAAACTAAGAAACAATTTACAATACAGCAGATACAACAGATTCCAAACAACTTGTATGCAACGGTACATGTAATGCAAATCAAAGACAAACGATGGCCAAAACAGACGTTAAACTATATATTCCATAGAATAGAAGACATGGATTCCATGAAATAATAAGTGTCTAATCTTTTACACTTGGTGCTCGAAGGGGTCCCCACTATCTCCAGTAATTGCCAGTAATTTTATGGAAAACTTCGAAACCCGAGCACTGTCCACATCAATGCTCAAACCCACATGTTGGTTACGAAATGTTGACGATACATTCGTTATCTGGCCCCACGGCAGGGATCCTTTGGTGTCTTTTTAAACTAATCTGAATGGTAACAATATTACTCAGTTCACGATGGAGGTGGAAACCAATTCATCTTTACCGTTTCTCGACATTGTCATAAAGAATAACATATTTCAAGGTTTTCGTCTCTCTCTTTATGGAAAACCCACTCAACCAATCATTACTTACATGCCTACACTCATCATCCACCTTTACAAATTAATTCAGTCATTAATGCCTTTGTCTTCAAATCAATACGCCTTTACGATGATGGAAAGAGATCTGCTGAGCTCTCTAGTTTAAAACAAGCCCATCATCCAAAACAGATACCGCAAAAATCACATCAATAGAAGCATCCACAGACATCAATCTCCCACTCAATCTCAATCCACAGACTTAGACCCTCATCATACAAAATATTTTATTCCCTACATCAAAGGTGTCACTAACAAAATCGACAAAATTCATAAATTAAGAGGAATAACGACAATATTTACCCCCCTACAAAAACTTTCATCTTTTGTCTGATCAATCAAAGACAATATTCCAAATCAACAACACGGAGCTTATGTAATTCCTTGTGCAGACTACCCTCGATCCTATATAGGCAAATAAATTATAGAATTTAAGATATGATTTTTTTCATTTTTGTTCGCAATTCCGATTCAATTTTAGCTCTTACCTTAGATGGTCAATACCATCTTTATACAGGTTACAAAATTAATTTTAAAAACTTTAGAACCATACTCTTCATCCGCTTCTATAGACTAGGAATTATCAAAGAAGTCATCGAAATTTAAAAAAGACCAAACTGTCTCAATAAAAGAGATGACGGTATCCGTTACTCGAAAATGAAGACTTCTCATAAAAACATTTCCTCGTACCAATACCCACGCCAAACTCCACGCAAACCAAATGAACCATCCGCTGTTCCCAGTATCAGTAATGCATTGATTAGTGATCAGTGTAGTAGTGTCTGAGGGTTTGGGAGACTAAGACCTCGGAAAACTTACAGAGGACATCAGAGAGGATGTTGAAAGATCAGCGCAGTGATAATTAACTGATTAATAAATCTACTGATAAATGATAATTAATTAATTTATCATAAATTTTCACCTAAACTTTTGCTTTTCGGTACATATTTGCTAAAGTCTCAATGTACGGTTTGTTAATGTATTTTTTATCAATATTGAGTAAGGTTAGATATCTCTTACCAAGCACTGTATATCCAACAATTCTCTAATCTTTCAAAATCAATTCTACAGACAAATCAAAGTGCTCTCTAGTAATTGCTAATATCTTCATGGAACACTTCGAGACCCGAGCATTTATAAATTCTTAAATCCACGATATGTTCACGATACATTCATCTGATACATTAGATATTCCAAAAATACTTTCTTGGAATCTTTTCTCACCAATGGTTAACATCCTAGTATCCAGTTTACGGTAGCAGTGAAGACTGATTCATTCTTTTTATTCTTCGACTTCGCGATAAAGAATAAAATCAAAGCTAATATTTCTATTACTTTGTTTACCAAAAACTTACCCATACCAACTGCTACGTGCATGCTAGCATACCTAGCATTCACCTTTAGAAATTAATTTAGTCATCAATTTCCTTGTTTCCGCATTAACAAGCAATAAAAGTAGATCCGCATATCTTTGTTCTTAAAAAAAGCCCTTGTTCAAAATTGTTGCCGACGAAAATCATACCAATAGGAACATCCACAGACATCTTTTACTCTTCATCTGTTACATCATCTGTTAAAGATAATATCCCAAAGGAACTACCATAATTTATAAATTTTTTGCAGCGTCTCCACGATCTTACATATTTCAAATACACCAAAGAATTTTTAACAGATTTTATGAACATTTCACTTAAGTTTTCAGTTGTGACTCAACGTTTTCTTATAACAGTATTATTTTTATACAGGTTAAAAATTATTTTTGAAAATTTTATATCTACAGCCCCTTTCTTTTATATAACCAACAATTATCCTAGAAGTTATTGATATTCAAAAGCGCCTTAATTCTTTCAAGAAAAGATGACTGCACCCGATTACCTTTAACATGCATACCTTTTCTTAATTACATCGTCCACTTCGTCCATCAATCCAGCTTCCACTAACAAAAATCTTTGCGCCAGCTCCTACTCAAACGACCCATTAGTTAACCATCGACGATATAAATTTATAAGCCACGACTAGAAGCAGCAGTACTACACTGAATAGTGAACAGTGTACTACTGAAGTGATTTGGTAGCTTAAAAGAATTGACTAAAGAGTTTTGAACTAAGCAAATCAAGCCTATTATTTGCGATAAAGAAAACTAAGCAATGGTTAGGTAGGTAATATAATAACTAGGCTAAAACAAATGATACCATAAGTCAATTTCAATAACAAGCAACATTCATCTTTACACGTTTGAAGAATAAAGAATGTACTGAATAAACCAATGAAGAAGTACTGCGAAGAATAAACACAACCGCGGAATTAGTCAATATCGTGAAGGGCCATATGCTGCAGTACTTGGAACATTTAATAAGAAATCAAGGCAGATACGAGCTACTTCAATGCAATTTGCTAGGTAAAATTAAAAGAAACAGGGCACCAGGCGAAGAGGAATATCCTGGCTTGCTAACCTGAGAGCATAATATAGAAACACCCCGACACAGCTGTTACGTATAGCAACCAACAAAGTCATCATAGCCAGAATGATCGCCAACGTTCGGAACGGACAGACACCCTAAGAATAAGAAGATCTTTACACGCAAGCTTAGTTAGAGAAGAATACATTGTTTTTCATTAAGTGATAGGACATAAGTCTTATTGGAAGGTGAAAAACATTGTATCAAATTTAATAACAAATTTTTACTGTACTGTTTTTATTTTGCACACCGAAACCAACCATGATTCAGATCTTTCTCTTTTTGATGTTTGGTATGAATGGTATTCATTTATATATGTATAAATAGATGATACTCATTTTGCACAAATAAGAACATTTATGTACAAACCTCAACCTAGTTATACTGCTTGCTTATATAATTCCGACAAGCAGTACAATTTTTGAACCAATATTTGCTGAAGAATCTCTTTTTTATTATCTAAAAACCTGCGTATTTCAGCACTAAAATAACTTTACAACGACCACTAACTAGAAAATAATTTATGTTGACACTTACCCTAAAGAAGGCCGCAGTCGAGCCGCCCCTAAGGGCCCCGTATTTGATTTTTGTCTGTTTCGCCAAATCCTCGGCCGTTTCGATCGGAGAGTCCATTCTCTCCACTGTGAGAAATGCTGCCAAGTTGGCCGTATACGAAGAGATCATGATTAAAGTAAAAAACCACCACATTCCGGCTACCATTCTCGTAGAAACAGCTCTGGAAAGGAAAAATAGAATTAGTGGGGGAGAAGAAAGCAATTTTTTCTATTTACCCCATTTTTCCAAAATAGTATAGATATAGTTGAGATATATTGCATTAGCATATCGTATGTTATATAAATATTATTATAAACAAAGGGCACAAATATACAAGATACTTATTATAATACTATATAATACAGTATTTCTGGTCAAATAATTTTCTAGTTAATGTCTGTCTTGTCGAAGGTACAACTACTACTCGAAAACCTTTACATACTGTAATATCTATCATAGCGTGCCTTAGTCATGGACTAATACGCCCTCCAATGCGCATCGCCCCACCTCAAAACATCTATACAATTTTCACTATTGGCCAACTGACCTGAAAATGCCCAAATCGAGATAAAAAGTCACAAGCTTATAATATCATCTCAACATCACAACATTCCAATTAGGCTTTAGAGGAGGTCACTCCACCATAACGACATTGACATAAATCGTCACACACCGCACTCAAAGGCTAAACGACGGTAAGCTTTTACTAGGCATTTTTCTCGATGTTCAAAAAGCCTTTGACTAAGTCTGGCATTGTAGACTGGTCAAAGAACTACGGCCTGCCTTATCTGTTCGTTAGACTTATCCATTCATGTCACTCAACATTAAATCACGGTAAAAATGCGAGGTCATTTCTCAGCCTCTTTTACTCTCACAGCAGGAGTTCCACAAGTCTCAGTGTTGGCACCTATACTATACACCATATACAGCAGCGACTTTCCAAACCATCACTTTGCTCTACGCAGACGACACTGCTTTCGTAACAACATCTTAAGACATAGAAGCACTAGTTAGTTTTGGTCAAAATCACATTGACCTAGTCGATAGGTGATGCGGGAGATGAAGAATAATACCTTCTTTTTCTTACGGTGCCTATTCGTTCCGGATGTTGGCGATCAATATGGCTATCCTAACTTTGCTTGCTGCTATTCTAAATAGTCCGGTTGTCGATGTATTAAAGGTTTTGAACCCAAGATATTCTTCTTCTTCCTGGTCCTCTTTTTCCAAATACCTTACCCTGAAGAACGAATTGCAACAAGCCGTATCTCTGTTCATTCCTCATAACATGGCCAAGATATTCTAGTTTGCGCTCTTTGATGGTGTTAATAATCTTGCATTCCTTGCCTATTCTGCGTAGGACCTCAACATTAGTCACACGATTCACCCATGAAATTCTTAAAATACGTCTGTAACACCACATCTCGAATGCCTCGAGTTTTCTTAAAGAAGCTTCGGAAAGTGTCTAGGCCTAACCCGGAATAATACCTAACCCTAATAAAACTTAAATGATTCTCTTTAGATACTCCAATCTCAGCAGATTTACTACATACAATATAGCCGAAAGGATAGACCTCAGACTCTGGGGCCACCGACTTCAACTCCGTAACCAGATTGAGTACCTCGTAGTAATGTTCATAGAAACACTAAACTGGAGGGTTGATCTGGCTACAGTCTGTAACAAGGTTAGGAGCAGAGTCGGTTTACTTAATGCCCTCTGTGGTGAGTTTGGACGGACACACCCACGTACACTTATACATACATAGAAAACTTTTGTCAGGCTGGTGATTGCATGTAGGTTTAATCTTTATTTTATGTTCAATCACCGCCTAATAGAACAACTGCTGGAATTGGAACGAAGAATTCTGCATAGAGTAAACAACAAACGGCACGACTACTCCGCCCTTATTCATTAACTGTCTAACATCTAGCCCAATAATGAGAGGCTCTTCTCTTTGAGCAGGAGTTGTACAATCAAAACCATCCGTGACCATAACTTCAGAGCCCAAAATATCATTAAATCTACCTGCTCATCCTTCGGCAATGTATTCAACAGACAGCCTTAGCGCAAACTCCCATTCTCAACCATTAAATTGCTGACCCTTGCCAGCAACGAACTCTCTGATGAATAAATGGATATCCTTGAGGCATTTCCACTCTATTATAGCCGTAATTACTAATTGTTTACTTCGAGCTTGCTATATCAGGTAGGGATCGGTTTTCTGTAGTTTCCCGATCTCATTGTATAATAATTATTTCTGTCTATTGTCAAGGCTACAGTCACAGCACTTGTGAATTTTAAATATTCAAAGGTATTTCCAGTACCTAGGTATCGTGATGTAATTGATAAACGCTGACTTGGTGAGATAGCATCTCGCAAAACAGTATCCTTTTTTGAATTTCAGGTATAACCATTTCAAATAGTTGATCAAATAATGTACTATCTAGTCGCAGAAAGTTTTCAAAAACAACTAATTCGCTAATTATTAAATCATTTAATACATTTTCCTAAGTGTACTTATTTCTTTTTTTGAACCGTTCTTTTTCCACCTGCGTTTATTTTTTATTTGTTCCTTGTATAAACGGCGAGTTGTGTGGCTATCCCGTTAGCTGCAACTAATTCAATAGCCATACAATTTGCCGTTTTTTTTTATTTCATTTGTTAATAGCACAAGTTTCAGTCGTGAAATAATTTAGTGTGCAATAACATTTATTCGTGTGTGTTGGCCTCCTAATATTATTGTACAATATGTAGTACAATATTATTGACGCCAACATTGACTATCTAGGGGCCGCTTTACAGCCCAACTTCTCCTTTAGACCGAAGAAGATGCTCTCTGGGGGGTCAGTATGCTTACCGGCCACTCGAGTCAATTGGCACATTCATCTGCTTGAATTGGTCAATAGACCACGGTACCTTTGTTCTTCTTCTTCTTGATGTGCCTATCCGTTACGAATATTGACGATCATCATGGCAATATTTATCTTATCTGCAGTAGCACGGAAAAGCTGTACAGATGTTGTATTGAACCAGATTCTGAAGTTATTTAACCAAGATGTTCTTGAGGATGCAGGATGACTTGAAGGAGAGCATATCTGCATTCATTTCGCATAATATGCCCAAAAAAGTAACTTTAGAGATTTATTGGTGGTCAGTACCTCTCGGTTCTTATTCATTCTTTTGAGAAACTCCTTATTTGTGACTCGTCAGTCCACAGGATTTTCTAATATAGCCACATCTCAAATGCTTCCAGTTTTTGCACATATCTTCGTTCAAGGTTCACGATTTAACACCATAAAAAAGGACGGAGAAGACGTAGCATAGCAGCATTCTTACTTTTGTATCAAGGAAGAGAGGTTGTGACTCTTGAAGAAGGTCCCCATTTAATTAAAGGTGGATGAAGATTTTCCGATGCGTGCTTTAATCTTCTGGTTGTTGGTCCATTCTATATTTAATATGGTGCCGATGTAGTTGTAGTGCGTCACTCTTTCTACAGGAGATTGGTTGACGTAGAGTTGACCTTCTGTTCTTCTTTTCTTGCTAATTATCATAAGCTTTATCTTCTTATCATTTATATTAAGTCCATATTATTGACTGTAACACGCGATTTTGTTTATAAGAACTTGTAGGTCTTCTAAGTTGTCCGCAAATACTATGGTGTCATCTGCATATTTGATGTTGTTTAGCCGGTAACTATTTAGTAGAATACCTTTTTTAGTTTCGTGCAGAGCTTCGATAACTATTCTTTCAGAGTACAGATCAAAGATGAAAGGAGACAAAATACAGCCTTGCCTCATTCCATGCATGATTTTCACATAGTCAGTATGCTCACCTTCAATTCTGAGATTTGCTGTCTGATTTCAGTCAAGACTTCTAATTATTTTTAGAACTTAGTTGTTAATTCCTGCTTCTTTTAGTATTTGCATTATTTTGGTGTGCTGTACTCGATCAAACACTTTCTCGTAATGTGCCTTTGTAATGAGGAAAAAGCTTGCTCACATTCTTCAACTCACAAGAACTTTGAGTCCCCTGAAAGTGCCCGGTACTGGCCTACCAGAGGTTGCAGTTCCTGGGTTCAGTCTTTTTATAACCGAGCCCAATGAGGTAGTTACCGTTAAAGAGACTGGTGGCTTTCTGTGAGGCCACAATGTTTCTAATGGATTAGACGTTTGTAACAGTAGAAAGGGCTAAGAATAGAGCTCCTGCTGATTATAGCAGATTTGGGAGCAGTAAGCAGCCTGAGCCACAGACACGCCAAAGACTAGATGTAGTTTTTTCCAAAAAAATCGACGTTATTTTGATCATAACTCTCTTAGTTCTCACCATAGAGAAGTGATGTTTTGTTACATCTTGTAATAAAACATTTTTAATGCAATTAAAAAAATTAATGCTTTTTCCAGAGAAATTCACCGTTTTGCTTAGATTTAACGCTGATTTTTTTAAATTCTTTGTTCAAATAACAATTTTAAACTTTAGTAAGGTATATCTTGGTTTGTAGTAGGTACATGACAAAATTACAGAAACAACTCTCTTGCTTCATTTGTTTAAAATATATCATCATCATCATTGGCTCCACAACCCATAGTGGGTCTTGAACTGCTCAAGGATAAGTCTCCATTCTCTCCTATTCTTCGCTTTGGCTTTCCAGTTTCGTACTCTCAACATTCTCAAGTCTTCCCCCACCTGATCCTTAAATCGTGCTCTGAGTCTGCCTTCCCAATCCATCTATTCTTTGGTTTTAATCCCTATATTCATTTGTGGAGTTATTTTTGATACCAGAATTTTCACCTCCGACTGAAGGTGTTCTTTCAGGGAAAAAAAGACACTTTGGAAAGGATATATTTTGTTGGTTGATTTATTCCTAGATATTGTTAAAATTTCAAGAAAATCAATGCGCCTTCAAGAATATCGAAGATGAAAACCTTGATAAACTGGATTATTCCTACATCCAAAAAGAACTTTTAAATAAAAAAAAACAGTTTTTAATTTACCACTTTATTCAACCGCTATCGACACGATGATTACTTGACGGAGGACAAACGAGTTAAAATCCACTCATGGCATTTTAAATACAAATCATTTATATCATCAATACATAAAACAATTAGATTTCAGGTGTGAGCGAATGAAGCGAGCGAGATTAGTTAACTTGATGTTCTTTCCATTGTGTTTAAGAACATATA